AATTATTAGTAGATGTCGAGGTATCTTCACATGCTCTGATATTATCTCACTTAGTAGGATACATGCTTCGCTTTATCCGTAGTACTAGTATTGGTGAAGTGTGCTATCTACCTATATTTATGTATGTAATAGAGGGTCAGAGACGCATTAGGTGTGGCCCTTCGGGAATGTCTTGGAATAAATGTGGTTGTTTGTAGGTGCTTTAATTTGGGATTATCTCTACTTTAAGGATGCTTTACCGAATATTAGGCAGATTTTAAGAGTTAAAAAACTTTTGTGATGATTTCATGCATACCATGGCTTTGTCATTGTTTCGGGTGATGGTCAACAAGCCTCAATTTTAGTGCCCACTGGAATTCGGATCGGGGTGTGTCCAAATAGGTTCTCCTAATACATTCTATATCATTAGGTGTCACTTATAGTCAGTGAGAGTCCCTTGAGGTATTTATCCTCATTAAGAGGGTGAACCATAATTTGTGGCCTTTGACCTAAATTTTTAGTAGTGACTGTGCGTAAAGTTAGAAGTGCCTTAAGTGGTATATGCCACTAGTCAAGCCATGTTGTGGTTGTAAGCCAACAAGTGACTTGGTATCTACCCTCGACTCCATAGGCAACAGAGGAACTAGACTCATGAGAAGCTTCAACATCACTCTCCTAACTCTTTACCAACTTCATGAGAAGCTTACCAAGTCGAATTGAGTAAGGTCTGCTCTAAATTACATTCTATTGACCAACCTTTTTTTAATTCATCTCTTGTAAAAAGACAGGTTCTTGCTCAGTAACTTGAATCCCTTTTGGCCTAAGAGGAGACCTATTGGAGACAAAGGTCTAAGGCCGGTTGGATGCGTGATGGTGACCGGAATACCAAATTCTTCCATCGAAGGGCTTCTGTTCATAGGAGCAAGAATCGTATTGTTGGTTTAAGGGGTAGTAATGGTGTTTGGTATGATGATGATGCAGGAATAGCAGGTGTGGTCACTGATTATTTTTTCGACATCTTTTGTAATGCCTTGAAAATTTAAATATATGAATTAGATATTCATAATTATGAAAATGTGGAGAAAATAAAAAATAAATCGATTTATGGTTATGAAAATTGAATTGAGAAATTTTAAAAATTTTGTTCCCTGAAATTATTATAATTTACGTCATAAAAATTTATCGATAGGTGAAAAAGATGAAAATGCCCTAGTTGGTTTAACGTAATTATACGATGACATATTTTATCCTTGTATATATTTTATTGTATTTCTTGATATATTTGGATAGAGCTCGATCTCACGAAGGCATAGGCGCAAACCGTTTATGAAACGAAGTTATAACGAATGAGTTATTAATGAAAGAATTTATGGGCAAAATGGGAATCTAATTATTAATCTGGAAGATTCCAGATTTGTTGGAGAATGGATATGGTGCCACATGTGTGGCTGAGATTGGAGGGAAGAGAAGAGAAAGGAGAGGGAGCTACCAATTGGGAGAAAGGGGGAGAAATGAGGACCAATCAGAAGAAAAGGGAAGGAGGAGAAAGGAGGGAAGGGAGAATGAGAGAACCGAACAACCCGGTTTCTCCACCCGACTCGATTCCTTAACCTGGTCCTATCTGCTCTGTCCGATGTCCATTGGAGATGATTTTTGTGTCTATGGAAAGCTCTTTTCTAGCCCAACGTCCTTGTGTTGTTGGCTTTCCAAATTTCTTACCCAATTTACAAATCGAAGCCATAAGCCAACGGTGGTTCTCGGGGGGGGGGGTTCTTCCTTTTTTGGTGATTCTGACAACGATTATCATCGATTTCCACCACCAATAGACTTCCCTCAATCCCAGGAACAAGGCCTAAGCAATGGTTAAGGCGTCGGGGTTCGAATGAGGGCGAATCAAGGAGCACCCATTCATAGGGTTCCGACAGAATCGAGGGAGATTTAAGGTGTTTACCAGCCGAATTGGACTTCCGTCTAGGTATGAAAATTGTTCCTCTCATTGAATTCTACTTGCCTATAAAATTTGGTAATTTTTAGAGTTCGTCAGAAAACTGGGTTTCCTTTCACCGGAAATAGCCACGCGCTGCCAGTGGGCTGATGCTGCCATTTTGTGCAAATTTTAATATTCTAAATACGAATTTGGTATCTGTTTGATGTGTTTGATTTATTAAAGCTAATGTTGGTTATTTTGGTTATTTGAATATAATTACAAATGAATTGAAAATGAAATGTGAACTACGATTGGCTTGATCCTTTCGTAAGGTACGTAGGCAGTCTAACAGGAAGGTTAGATGCAGCCATAAAATAACCGAGATTAATCTTTACTGAAAATTAGAAAGAAGAAAAAAGATTGGGTGTTTAGTTTAAGGATGGACCTTATGTTTTTGTTAAATAATTTTAGCTATAAAATTTGTGAGGAATTAAGAATTTATTAAAGAAATTGTGATTAATGGTAGTAAATAAATAAGAGTTTAAATTTGACCTATCACCATAATTAGTTTCGTAAATAAAAATTTCAAGGGCGTTACATCTTTGCCTTTAACCAGCCCACGGACAATGGAGAAATTCTGGAAGCTAATGAACAGCATGTGATTGAGGACATGAATAATTTCTTGATGCAGGATTTTGGACCTAAGAAAATCAAAACGGCTATCTTCCAAATGCAACCATCTACTTCCCCTGGTCTCAATGGCCTCCCTCCCCTGTTCTTTCAGAAATCCTGGGCTATTGTTGAAGATTATGTGACATATGCGATCCCTTCTTTCCTCAATTCTGGTAACCTTCTTAAGAAAGTGAACTACACCTACATTACTCTCATTTCAAAGGTGAAGACCCCCAAGGATATGGCTCAGCTTCGGCCTATTAGCCTCTGCAATGTACTCTTCAAGATAGCTTCCAAGGTAATTGTGAATTGCCTCAAGCCATTGCTCCAACATGTTATCTCCCACCACCAGAGCGTCATTGTCCCCGACCGACAGATTTCAGATAACATAATCCTGGCTACGGAGTTATCTCACTTTATGTTCAAGCGTCGCAGGGGAAAAAAAGGCTTCTTATCCTTGAAACTCAACATGAGCAAAGCTTACGATTGAATTAAGTGGGGTTATTTGAGGAATGTTCTTCTTCGACTCGATTTATGTCATAAGTGGATCGATCTGATTATGACTTGTGTCTCGACAGTTTCTTATGCCTTTCTAGTTAATGGCATTCCAAGAGGATATCTTCACCTGCCCAAAGGCTTGAGGCAAGGAAACCCGCTGTCCCCATACCTGTTTCTCCTTTGTGCAGAACGTCTTTCAGCTTTGATTGCCAAAAAAGAACGAGAGTGACTCATCCAAGGCATTTCTATTTGTTTAGGGGCTTCCCATAACAATCATCTTTTATTTGAAGATGATAACTTCTTGTTCGCAATAGCTACTATGGATGATTGCCACCAAATTTTGCTTATTCTCCGCAACTACAAAGTCACCGTAGGTCAAATGATTAATCTACATAAGAGTGAGGTCTCCTTTAGCAGAAATGTAAAGAGAAACATGCATGACTCTATAACCTTCAAACTTGGTGTAACTTAAGTGGCGAGACATGACAAATACCTGGGTCTCTGGAAGCGTCTCCAAAGTTGGAAAGGAAAACTCTTAAGCTCGGTGGGTCGGGAAATCCTTGTTAAGATGGTTGCATAGGCAATCCTTCTCTACGCCATTCGTTATTTTATTTTACCTAAATATTTATGTGATGAACTTAATGGTCTTGTTGCATGGTTCTAGTGGAATGAATCCAACGATGGCAGGAAGATCCATTGGTTGGGTTGGGACAAGCTTTGTCTTCCCAAATGTGATAGGGATCTAGGCTTAAAAAAACTACATGCTTTCAATCTCGGGATGCTTGCCAAACAAGGTTGGAAGCTGTTAACTAAACCTAACTCTTTGGTGGCACACATCCTTTGCGCCAAATAGTTTCCCTCTTCCCTTTTTTTCCAAGCAAATGTTAAGCCCAGTGACTCTTTTGTTTGGAGAAGCTTATGTGCTAGTAGAGAGGTGCTCACTAGGGGATTGAGATAATAGTAGGCTCTGGATAAAAGATTAACATTTAGGATGACAAATGGGTTTGTATTTTCTCCCCCAAGTCTCATGCCTACCCCGTTTCTCTGGTCAGTGATCTCATTGATGTGGAAGAGAAATGTTGGAGAACTAATGTCATAAGAATTTATTCTCAGATTTAGAGGCCAACCTTATTCTCTCTATTCCCATTAGCCATCGTCTATCGGAAGATAGACTCATTTGGCACTTCGACAAAAGAGGTTTATTTTCTATGAAAAACGCCTATCGTGTGGCACATGACTTGGTTTCTGGCAGGATCAGTCGGGATTCTTCCTCAGGATCATCTGGGGAGCCAAAGTCCCACTGAAAGTTCGAATAAATGCGTGGCGTCTTTGCAAGGACATTGTCCCAACAAAATCCAATCTGGTAAAGCGTCACATAACCTCTGACTCTCTATGTGTACTTTGTGGCAGTGTCGGTGAATCAAAAGTCCATATTCTTTGTGACTGCTTTTTAGCAGCCTGTGTGTGGAGTTTCTCTCCTCTAGGTCGTCTACCTTGTGGCCCCTCATTCTTATCGCCTGTTATTAAATGATGTATCTCCTTCCCAAACTTGACAAACATAATTTTGATTTAATTCTGATGCTCTCTTATGTTATTTGGAGCACTAGGAATATTATGCTTTGGTCAGGTAAATGTGATCCCCCCTAACATCGTGGTATCTCACACCATCTATTGGTGGCAAAACTTCCAACTTGCCTCCACTCCTACTTTCACTGCTAGCCACTCTTCGGACTCATTAACGGTGAAATGGGTGAATCCTAGGCTTGGTTTTTTGAAATTTAACGTGGACGGAGCTTGGAATGCAAATTGTCTCATTTGTGGTGTAGGTGTGCTTCTCCGAGACGTTGCAGGCAATTTTGTAGCAGGCTTAGCTAAGTATTTCCCTCACGTTCCTTCTCCTTTCTTTGTTGAGGCTTTGGCGGTCAGGGAAGGTCTTGCCTTGGCATCTTCCAGATGTCTTCACAATATAGTTATTGAGAGTCATTCGCTCTAGATCACCCAATCTCTCCGATCTTCTTCGTCAGACCTTTCTCTTATAAGTCTCATCATCAAACACTCTAGAGAGCTTTCCTTGGGGATCATTGGAGTTTGTTTTACCGATATAAGACATCAAGCAAATGAAGTTTCTCATCGACTTGCTCGTTGCAATCTTCGTCCAGCAGCCCTTCATGTGGTCTGAGGTGTTAAGGATACTGAAGGACTATCTACTAATCATGAACACAATGTATCAGATTAATACCTAGATACTTAGCTTAGTTGTTAAGTTTTGGTTTGTTAGAGTTTGTTGTATTAGAATGCTTAGTCAACATTAGTGAGTATTTATGTATAACATACACCTTGTACTGAGTGTGGAATTAATGAGATTTATTCTTCAACAACTCAATCTCTCTCTAGATTCTTTCTCTGTCTAAACTCTCTCTAGAATCTTGTTTTCTTTACAGATCTTTGATCTTTAACATGGTATCCTTCGCCGCTGTCTAACGACTTCGATCTTTTCCTTCTGTTTGTGTGCATTTTCTTACTTCCCAAACAGATCTTTCTCCCTTTCTTTTTCTGCGAATTGTTTGCTGCTTTCATGGCGACTTCCTCTGATTCTCCTTCTTCTGGTCCTACTTCTCATGGCGAGGTGTCTAATCTGCTTCATCCTTCGATTGGATCGATTACGGTTCAGAATGTTGCTGGCATGATTCCGATTAAACTCAATCGTCAGAATTATATTACCTGGCGTAGCTTGTTTCTTCCTGTTCTGAAACGATTCAAGCTTCTAGGTCTCGTCAATGGCGACGATCTATGTCCACCGGAATTTGTTCGTGATTCTTCTGGATCTCAAATTCTCAACCCTGCTTATGAACTTTGGTGTGAACGTGATCAGATTCTGACGATTTGGATCAACTCTACCCTTGCTGAGGATCTTCTTCCGTTGACGATTGGGATGGCGGATTCAAGATCTCTTTGGCAGTCTCTTGAGCGTCGTTTTGCTGGTGCTTCACGCACTCATGTGCATAGTCTTCGCTCCAAGATCCAGACTATTCAGAAAGGTGACTCTTCGCTGACCGACTACTTCAACTCCATCAAAGAAATCTTCGATAAACTGGCTACTGCTGGTGAGCCGATCTCTGAGAAGGATCTTGTAGCTTATATTCTTTCTGGCCTGCCTGATGAGTATGAATCATTTGTTGATTCCATTGAGACGCGATCTGAAGATGTGACTACTGATGAACTTCACGGGCTTCTCCTCAGTAAAGAAATCTCGCTCCAGAAGCGTAAGACTCGATCATCTTCTTCCTTCTCAGCACCTTTTCATGCTTATACAACACAACAACATTCATCTGGTTCCAATTCTTTTCGAGGAAATTCTAGAGGAAAGTTTCAGAATCAGAATCGTTCTCATCAGCCTCGTAACTTTGGTCAGAATCGTAATTTTGGTCCTAATCGCATTTTTGGTGGTGTTCTTGGTTCTGCTCCGAATCCAAATCGACCTTCATCCTCTGGTTTTATTCCTAATCACTATCAAGCGAGTTCTTCATCCTTTTCCTTTGGACGTTCTCTTCCTTGTCAGTTGTGTAATCAGTATGGTCATGGTGCCCTTTCTTGTGGCCGTCTTTCTCAATTTGCTTCTCAGCAATCTCCAGGTTTCACTAATCCTCCTGTCGGTATGTCTGCCATGACTGGTTCCCCTCATCCAAGCTACTGGCTTACTGATAGTGGTGTTTCCCATCATGTGACTCCCGATCCTGCTTCTCTCAACTCAGTCATTCCATACACTGGCACTGACCAACTATTTGTTGGTGATGGTAAAGGTCTCTGCATTTCTCACACTGGATCTGCTCTTATTCGAACTGCTAATGTTGTGTTTAAACTACATGATGTTCTTTTAGTTCCTCAAGCATCTCATAACTTGCTCTCCGTATATCGATTTGTTCATGATAATTGGTGTTCTCTGACATTTGATCCATTTGGATTCTATGTCAAAGACCTACGCACTGGGATGATGCTTTTCCAGGGCCCCAGTGAAGGAGGTCTCTATCCTTTATATTGGAATGCATCTAATGGCGTATCTGGATTGCTGTTTCTCCTCATGCTCTTATGATTGCTCAAGCTGACATCAATATATGGCACAGAAGGCTTGGACATCCTTCTAGTGTTGTTTTAAATAAGATTGTTAATAAAAGTCAACTGCTTGTTGCTGGTTCAGTACATAAACAATCCTTTTGTTCTGATTGTCAATTTGGGAAAGCTTCTAGGCTTCCATTTTCTGTTGTACCTTGTACATCCACTAGGCCATTTCATATCATTCATGCTGATGTATGGGGTCCTTCTCCCACTCCTTCATGTACTGGCTATAAATACTATCTTGTTTTGGTTGATGATTTCACCAAATATAGTTGGTTATATCCTTTGCACTTCAAATCTGATGTTTGTTCTGTTCTTAATACATTTGTTTTGAAAGTTCAGAATTGGTTTGACAGTAAGATCCAGTGCTTGCGATCTGATTCAGGGGGTGAGTTTTTCAATTCTGTTTTACAAGGATTTCTTAATACTCAGGGCATTATACACCAGCTGAGTTGTCCTCACACTCCACAGCAGAATGGTTGTGCCGAAAGGAAACACAGGCATATTGTTGAAATGGGTCGAAATTTGATATCTCACAGTGGTTTGCCATCCAGGTTTTGGGTAGAAGCTTTTCAAACTGCTGTGTATCTCATCAATCGACTACCTTCTCAGTTTTCATCATGTCCCTGGGAGTTATTGTTCAAGGCTGCACCTAAGTATCACACCTTGAAGACCTTTGGTTGTGCTTGTTACCCTTGGTTGCAACCTTATAGTTCTCACAAACTGGACACAAAGAGCAAGCTCTGTGTATTTTTGGGCTACAGTTTGAATCACAGTGGTTACCGATGCCTCGATCCAGTTACCAACAAGCTGTACATTTCCCGACACGTTGTCTTTGATGAAAATTCCTTCCCCTTTAAGCACCTCCCTGCTTCCCATACTACTTCTTCTTTATCCTCTCTTACACCATCCGCTCCTTCCTTTTCCTTTACCATACCAGTTCCTCCTTCCACACCTTTACCCGTTCCTACTTCTTCTTCTCTAGAACCTACGGAACCTGTATCCATTGCTCCATCTCCAGACTCTACCTCCATTGCTCATTCTCCAGAATCTGCATCCATTGATCAACCTCTAGCACCTTCTATTCCAGTTAATACTCATACCATGGTTACAAGGGCTAAGGCCGGAATCCACAAGCCTAAAGTGTTCACTGCAACTAAACATCCTCTTCCTCCCACGCTTGATTCCCTTACTGTTATTCCTCCCACTCCAACCACCTACCTCCAAGCTTCTAAGAATGCAAACTGGTTGGCAGCAATGCAGGTTGAGTATCAAGCTCTCCAGTCCACCGGTACTTGGGTTCTAATTCCTCATAATCCTCAATATATTTGGTAGGCTGCAAATGGGTGTTCAAGCTCAAACATAAAGCTGATGGTTCTATAGAGCGCTACAAAGCTCGGCTTGTGGCCAAGGGATTTCATCAAAAAGAAGGCCTTGATTTCTCTGAGACTTTCAGTCCTGTAGCTAAACCTCCTACAATTCGTCTTCTCCTCTCTATTGCAATTACATATGGTTGGTTTATTCACCAGTTGGATGTGAGTAATGCCTTCCTTCATGGTTCCCTCAAAGAGACCGTCTACATGGTGCAACCACCTGGTTTTATTGATCCAGCCAATCCTCATCACGTTTGTAAACTGCAAAGATCACTCTATGGTCTCAAACAGGCACCCCGAGCCTGTGCTATTCTCTCATTGGGATTTGTTTCTTCCTCATCTGATACTAGTCTTTTTATCAAGAAATACTCTACTATTACTTTTATACTAGTTTATGTGGATGATATTATCATCACTAGGAGTTCTCCTACTGTTTGCCAATCCATCATTTCGAAGTTGCAATCTTTGTTTCCTGTCAAAGATTTGGGAGATATTCATTATTTCCTTGGCATTGAGGTTCACAGATCCTCTACCGGTCTTTTTCTTCATCAATCCAAATATGCTTTGGACTTGCTTAAGAAGACAGATATGCTTGGTGTCAAACCTTGTTCTACTCCAGTGAGTTCCGCCAAGTTGGATCATTCTGGCACTATTCTTTCTGATCCTACTCTTTATCGCTCAACTGTTGGTGCTCTTCAGTACTTGACATGGACTCGTCCTGATTTGGCTTTTGCAGTGAATCAAGTGTGTCAGCACATGCATGCTCTTCGTACTATTCATCTCCAGGCTGTCAAGCGGATCTTACGCTATCTCAAGGGTACTATTGACTCCAGTTTATGGTTTAAACCAGGCAATTAGTTTCTCACAGCTTGGTCTGATGCTGATTGGGCCGGTTGTCCAGTTGATCGACGATCTACTAGTGGCTATTATGTTTTCTTGGGTCCAAATCTGATTTCTTGGAGTGCCAAGAAGCAAACCACTGTGGCACGATCGTCTACTGAAGCAGAGTATCGATCTTTAGCCAATACTGTTGCTGAGATCACTTGGGTGTGTAAAATTTTGCAGGACCTCTCTTTTCCTCTTCTTCGCCCTCCTGTGATTTTTTGTGATAATCAAAGTGCTATTGCATTAGCTAAGAACCCTGTTTTTCATGCTCGAACAAAGCATGTCGAGATTGATTACCATTACATTTGCGAAAAAGTTTTTCACGGTCATATCAGCATTCATCATGTTCCTACTCTCTTTCAGATTGCTAATATTTTTACTAAGTCCTTATCTGCTTCTCGTTTTGCTACTCTCAGTCACAAGCTTTCAGTTTGTTCTCCTCCCTTCAGCTTGAAGGGGTGTGTTAAGGATACTGAAGGACTATCTACTAATCATGAACACAATGTATCAGATTAATACCTAGATACTTAGCTTAGTTGTTAAGTTTTGGTTTGTTAGAGTTTGTTGTATTAGAATGCTTAGTCAGCATTAGTGAGTATTTATGTATAACATACACCTTGTACTGAGTGTGGAATTAATGAGATTTATTCTTCAACAACTCAATCTCTCTCTAGATTCTTTCTCTGTCTAAACTCTCTCTAGAATCTTGTTTTCTTTACAGATCTTTGATCTTTAACATGAGGAACCACCAGACTTCATTTTAGATATTTACTTGCATATTGTAATTCTTAACAATGACTACTCCCTTTTTGTAATCTTATTTTTTCCTTACCAATATATCTCTCTATCGCCTTTGATTCAAAAAAATAAAATAAAATAAAAAACTCTTTACCAACTTCACTTCTTTCGAAGTACCTAATGATATATATGCTTGGATGCTTGGATCTCACAACTTCACTTGTCATTTTCTAATTTTTAGTTTGGCACTGCTTGCTTCTTTAAGTGTCAGAAGTAATTACATTTTCAATGATGACGTGAAATAATTTAATTGTACAAACATCATAATTGGAAACTGTTCATTTTTTTTTATCATCGTCTAAAGATCATTATCTAAAAAAATGTATTCAACTTGAAGATCATTTAGTCATCCATATGAATCAAATTATTGATGATTCATCACGAAGGTGTAACTTGTACCACAACTGTCAATTTGTTTGGCACATATGGATGTGCTAAACGGTCTCCAATTGCTTGAATTTTTCTAGAGATGATCTTTAAATGCTGACAAAGATAATGAACGGTTCTTATTTGTAGGGTGAATGATGTTGAAGGAAGAATGACTCTTTTCATGTAAAGATCAAGTATTGTCCTTTTAGTTTTCATTATGTATACTCGAGTAAGAGTGAAAGGATATTAGAAAAATGAGGAATTGAGAAGAAATAAGAGAAGATAGAGAATGAAGTTAGATAATAAGAAAATGAAAAAATAAAAATGAAAACAACTTAAAGTATTTTTAATTTTTCATATTGTGTGTTACTCCTCCAGTCCTTCTTGCACATTCCTTTCACATTTCTTCCACCAATCTTCTTTTACTATTTTTTTTTCATTCCTCATTTCACACACACTCTTTTTCTTTATTTATAACATAGAGAATAAATAAACTATTTGAAAAATAAATTCACATTCTTTAATATACCATTATGATTTAGAGATGTGCCACACACTTTTTTTTTTACTTCTTACATTCCTTTGTTAATTTTATCTTTTGATTTTCTTTAAGGCTAAATAGCCAAAATGGTCCCTGAGATTTGCATAACTCATCACTTTGTTCCCTAACATTTCAAATCGATAAAATTTGTCCCTGAGATTGTCCACCATCCATCATTTTGGTTCTTTGGTTAAAAACTTCGTTAAGTATCCCAGAGCTCTTGGCTAGAAGTTTGGGCAATTTTCAAAGCTTCGTAACTCAATCGTTTTTTAACCAAATTCGACCCATAATATATCAAAATGAAAATAGGAAAATGTAGAATAAGATTATACCATTTATAAGCGCAATGGCTGACGGAAAATAGCCTCAAAGTTGACTGGTCCAAGGGAGAACTGGAAAACTCGCTGGAAATTGAGTAAACTTTAAACGTTCATAACTTCTTCAATACTCAACGAAATCAAGTGATTCAAAAACAAAAATCATACTTCTCGATGAGACAAAGAGAATGCTACCTTTGTAGATGGCTAAACCACCGTAGTTTGGCCAGAAAATGGCTCAAAAGTGGCTAACTCGAGACCAAGACAGCCATTTTCGAGCTGTTTTCCAGCCAAACTACGGCGATTTAGCAGTCGAAAAATGTACCATTCTCTTCATCTCATCGAGAAGTATGATTTCGTCTTTGAATCACTTGATTGCGTTGAGTATTGAAGAAGTTATGAACGTTTAAAGTTTACCCAGTTTCCAGCGGGTTTTCCAGTTTTCCTTTGTACCAGTCAACTTTGAGACTATTTTCCGGCTATCTCCGGCAGCCATTGAGCTTCCAAATAGGTATAATCTTATTCTACACTTTCTTATCTTCATTTTAATATATTATAGGTCGAATTTGATTAAGAAACGATTGAGTTACAAAGCTTGGAAAATTGTCCAAATTTCCGGCCAAGAGCGCCGGGACACTTAACGGAGTTTTTAACGGAATGACCAAAATGATGGATAGTGGACAATCTCAGAGACCAATTTTATCGATTTGAAATGTTAGAGACCAAAGTGATGAGTTATGCAAATCTCAAGGACCATTTTGGCTATTTAGCCTTTCTTTAATTCGTTCAATTCGACGATAGAAAATTAAATAGGTGTGTGAGAAGTTAAAAAAAAATATGTAGCTAACACACTCCTATGATTTACATTTAGAAATTTCAAGATGTATTTCTTTCAGTGCAGGACAGGAGTGCAAAAATAACGGCAAAAATGCCTAACTGGAATTTGCACACGAAAAGTGAAGTTGGTGAAGCACCAAATTAAATACATCAATGTCAAATCAATGCCAGAATGCCACGTGTTTTTTTATTTTTTTTATTTTATTTTTCATTTTTTACTTCCAATGCTATTGCGGTTAGCCTTAGCCTGTTAGTGTCTGTTCGGTAGGCTAGTTAGTATATGTTGTGACTAATTCAAATCAACTTGAGTTCAGTCTATTATTTCTGTGTCAAATGTGAAATGGACAAAACTAGATATGATTGATTATGTATCCATAATAGAATCATTTATTTAACATATCTTTATATATGAGTTACAAGTCATATCTTACATATCCTTGCCAATTCAATCATATCACTAGATTCAATCATATTCAGCCCACCAAACGAACTCTTAAGCGTTACTATGTACCCAAAACATGCATCAATGGAATGCAGTTATCACAAACCCATAAATGTCCAACCCACATTATCCAAATTCTACTTTATATTTACTTACTGGTGTGGCTTATCTAAATATGTTTGCAGGCAAAATTTTGAGTTTAACCGAAAGTATATTTATTTTCTTTATTTTTGAGATCATTTTTCAGCGGAGAGATGCAGAACTGAATTGTAAAAATCATACGTATATCTCAGAGTCTGAGGGGTATGAATGCGGATTTTAGGACAATCTATTGTGTTTGAGTAATATTAACAAGCGATATTAAAGATAAAGAAAAGGGGATAAACTCATACCTGTATAGCAGAACTTCTCAGTGTTTTGTATTAAATTAAATAGACAGATATTCGAAGATGATGTGTCCAGGACCACCAAAGCTCGGTTGTGGCTGTGGGGGAGCTTCAATTATTCTGGAATTTTCAACTGTATACATAGTAAAAGCCCACCAAATACATCAGGCTTTCAATGAGCTCTTTCAAATTTAATTGCTGATTATTATTACCTCACGTATCTTCTAAAAAGTGAATAGTGATTTTTGTGTCATCAAGCTTCAACAAAATATTTGGACAAAAATGCCTTCAAGACAAAAAACTTCAAAGTCATCTCAAAATAATGCATCAAATAAGGAAAGGGCATTTTCATCATTTTAACAACATTTTTTTAATAATTAATTTTTTTTTAGTGTTTTTTTTTTAATTAGTATCTCACGATAGGTTAGCAATAATGTGATTCAATTTCTCTATTTTTAAACACATTCAAAACATCTTAAGAGGCATGTAGGTTATAAAAAAGGTCATTCGCACGCGGATAATAATATGATTAAATTATTTGTCAAATGATTGTTTTTTTTTCTTCAATAAACGATATTATCTACACTAAGGGGAGGGGGTGGGCTTAGCCTCATAATTGGTTAGCAATAATGTGATTCAATAAGTTTTTTATTAAGTATTATTTTCTCTATTTTAAACACGTTCAAAACATCCTATGAGGCGTGTAATGCCAGTTATAAAAAAATTCTTTCGCATGCAGATAATAATGTGATTAAATTAGTTGTCAAATGATTTTTTTTTTTTAACAAATGATATTATCTACACTAAGGAGGAAGGGGTGGGTTTAGCCTCATAATGGGCTATCAATAATGTAATTCAATTAGTTGTTTATTAAATATTATTTTCTCTATTTTTAAACACTTTCAAAATATCTTAAGAGGCGTGTAATGCCTGTTATAACAAAAATCCTTCGCGCGCGGATAATAATATGATTAAATTACATTAAATTAGTTGTCAAATGATTTTTTTTTAACAAACGATATTATCTACACTAAGGAGGAAGGGGGTGGGCTTAGCTTCACAATAGGCTAGCAATAATGTGATTCATTCAGTTGTTTATTAAGTATTATTTTCTCTATTTTTAAACACGTTCAAAACATTTTAAGAGGCGTGTAATGCATGTTATAAAAAAAGTTTTTTCGCACACGGATAATAATGTGATTAAATTAGTTGTCAAATGATTGTTTTTTGGGTTTTTTTTATTAACACTCCACTTATTGTTGAATACACTCTACATAAAAGTTTATTGTTAAGTGGCTTATATACCTAATACAAAATGACTATTTAGGCCTAAAAAATTAAAAAATAAATAAATAAATAAATAAATAATTTTCTAAATACACCCCAAGTTAATTTAGACTTGTATTCTAAGATTGTTTTTTCTTCAAGCTCTCAAAGTCACTCACTTCTTTCATTATAGAACAAGACCCTAACTACTAAAAGCACAAAACATGGAAAAAGATTATTTTTCATCCTTGTTTTGTAGATCTTTAATTTGCTTGATTCTATGATGATAGAAATTTTAGAATTGGAGCAAGGAAAAGGAAACTGGTTAGTTTAAAGCCAGCAATACATTTTTTTTTTTACTTTGCAGGTGCAACCTAGAAGAACAAACTTATATAATAAAATGCAATGTGTTCATAAATTTTGCTTTGACCATGTTAGAACACCAAATAGTTGTGCATGTGAATTCATATATATTCGGACAGAGAAGGAACAGTACAATCTTATATGCAATCCAATTATCAAAGAATAGATCGGCGGAAGGTATGAACTATTTAACCCCACCAGATGACAACGTTATATTCAATAGAGAACAGGGAAAAATTTTGTTTCATACTTGACTCCAGTTCCTTTGCTTGTTCATCGCCTTCTTCGTTCTTCGTATTGATGTGGGGTTTAAGTAGAGCATGTGGGGTGTACATATAGCATATGGGGTGTATTAAGATAAATTTTGATTTAAAAAGTATATGTGGGGTGTATTAAGTATGTGGGAGGTAGTTAACAAAACGTAGGGTGTCAATAAAACAACCCTTGTTGTTTTTTTTTTTTTTAACAAACGATATAATCTACACTAAAAGGGAAGGAGGTGGGTTTAGCATCACAATGGGCTAACAATAATGTGATTCAATCAGTTCTTTATTAAATATTAGTTTCTCTATTCTTAATGT